AGTCATATCATAATTAACATTAATTAAATAAATAAATACAAATATTTTAGTAATTAAATATATTAAGATCACAATACTATACCGTTTATGATCACAATTACGTATTATTCACAATCACAAAATGTCACAATCACAAATTACAGATTTTATAGCTCAGACTTTATATATTGATCACAAATTAGGAAATTAATTAATCAAAAGTTATTCCTCGATTACAAATTATCATATTGGTTAGTCACAACTTAACAAATTATGAGTCAGATTACAAATTTAATCGTAATCTCACATTTTTTAGGTTAAATATTATTTATTGGTTACAAATTATCTTTTCATCAGTCACATATTATTTATTGATTGCAAATTAACCAATTTATTAGTCACAATCATCCAAATAACTGGTCACAAACACTTTTCTTCACATTCGGTCCGAGTGTGCGTATTCAGTCCATTTGCAAATGAACTGATTAAGAACTTATCAGACCGTTTAATAAAAGTTCAAACCGGACGAGTTCATATAAACCAGAACCGGTTCAAAGTGAATCGATTTTTTTACCAAATTAATCCATAGCAAAATTTTATTTCAAATTTGCACATGAGATTCAAACCCTTGCTACTTGTATGGAAGGTTAGAACTTGACCTCTGTAGCACTTGTAAAACCTTGAATATGTATGTGAGCAAAATATATGTTTAGTAAAATCAATGGCATAAAAGATATATATTATACTTTTGTTTCAAAAATATTTTTTAATTCGAATTATAGCCTAAATATGACACATCGGTTGAACCACCAACCCAGTGACCTGATGATTTATTTGGGTCGACGATCGGATCGATTCTGATAACTATGCATCCCGTCCACCCCAAATCCATTCCCACTCTTCGGCACAAATCCACCACCACCACTAGCATCATCGCCACACCATCTGTGAGTGTAATTTTCACCAACATTACCACCGTTGCCAGCACCTCACCACCATAGTCAGCACACCACTACAACTGCAAACACCACCAACTACAACCAACAAAAACCACCCCAAAAACTCTGACACCAGATCGCAACCCAATTTGCCAAATTTTTCCAAATTTACATCATTTGTTCTCCCAATAACGGTTGCTACTATAGCATCACTGCACTTAGTGCGTGAGTGTCGTTCACATTGTATGTAACAGCATCATCATCATTGTGCACAATGCGTGAGCGCCGCGTCACACCGTACACAATGATGAAATCATCGCTGCGTATAAATGCTCAGCTACGCATAGCGGCTACAACATCATTGTAGCAACGCTTAGGCCATTGAAGAAGCACACTAGTAGCACTAACCCTGCACACAGTGATGACATCGTCGCTTCTATAGCGGTGCTCGCCTCTATAAGAACCATTACGGTGGTCTCCCAGCGATGGTTGTTCGGTGGTTGTGATGAAGAGAGAGAAGAGAGAATGACGAGGATAGAGAGAGAAGAGAGAAGGTAGAGGATAGAGGATAGAAGAGAGAAGAGAGAAGGTACAGGATAGAGGATAGAAAGAATAAAAGTTAGTACTAAACTTTATATCAACGAAATAATTGTTTAAGAAAAAAAACCAAATAGGAAACAACACGAAGATAACTGTTTCTTTGTACTAAGCAAAATCTAAATAATATAGTTTTTTAATTTTTTGTTATTAAAAATTAATTAAGAAAAGGTTACACCTCTACATTCTCATTTGTTATCTATGTATGACTGGTAGACATAACTAACTTTTAGCTTAGATTTATGAGTGCTGGCTGGGTAGAAATAGTGTCACCCTATTTCCCGACCAAACATGAAACGGGCACTTTTACATTATTTGTTGGGTTTTGTGACCCAAATCCGGTCTAAATTGGGTCTAAAGCTTTGCGTTGTGGAGTATTAGGCTTGAAGATAAATAGGGTCCAAGAAGGAAAAAAAGGCGGATTGACGACACCGAACGGACGCCTGCTTATAGCTCGAGCGATAGGAGAAAAATTGGAACAGGGAGTTTGTCGCCCGCTTGTCCCTGAGTTGTCGCTCAAGCAACTGGTCATCGCCCGCTTCTCGCTTGAGCGACGGGCAGCAGATTTTTTTCTTCTTTTTCGATTTTGCGTGATTTTTAACCTAGTTTTCATATTTTAGGTTAATTATAGGGTTTGAACATGTCTCCTATAAATAGTAGACTTTTCATTCAATTTAGATAAGAGCAAATGCAGAAGTTGTATTTTCTCTACATTGGTTGTTATTAATAAGATATTCGGTTCCTCTGCCAATTTCATCTTCTTGTTTGTTTTCTTTTAAATTTTGTTCTTGTTTATTAGTTTGTACGATCTATACTTCATGTTGCGTCATATCGCCTCCTTGAATTCCTAACAAGTGGTATCAGAGACAAGATTCAGCAGTTCTGCAGAGCAAGGATTTGATTGTTTGAGGTTTTTTTGTTATCGATGGCTACCATGAAGTATGATATTCCGCTATTGGATCGCAGTACAAGATTTTTATTTTGGCAAGTGAAGATGAGAGTTATATTGGCACAAATAGATTTGGATGATGCTTTGTTGGGATTTGGTAGGATGCCTACAACTTGGAAAAGAGAGGAGAAGCAACGGAAGGATTGCAAGACACTTTCGTAGATTCATCTTCATCTATCTAACAACATTCTTCAGGATGTCTTGAAAGAGAAGACATCAACTGCATTGTGGTTGAAACTAGAGCAATTATGCATGATCAAAAGCCTGACCAGCAGATTGCATTTGAAGCAGAGGCTTTATTCTCATTGTATGGCAGAAGGCCGATAACTGGAGGATCATCTGTCTGTGTTTAAGGAGATCATCGCTGATCTAGAGACGTTAGAGGTAAAATATGATGAAGAGGACTTGGCCTTAATCCTGTTGTGCTCCCTGCCTAATCATTTAGGGACAAGATTCTGTACCATCATGACATACTCACCATTGAAGACGTGTATGATGCCTTGTTCTCAAAGGAGAAGATGAAGCATCTGGTTAGAGCTGGTTCCAGAGACGAGGAAGCTCTTGTGGTTTATGGTGATCGACGAAGGGGCAAGTCGAGGGTAGATTTCAGCAATAGGGTCTATTTTTACTGCGAGGGATAACAAGAAGTTGCAGGGTAAGGATAATTCAGTTGCAAATTGTGAGAAGTAATTAGAGACTTCGGGTGAAGCAGACATCATAGAGAACTTTGTAAGTGATAGATATCTTTTGACAAATTCTGACATGGAATCCAAGACTGACGAAAAGTGGATTTTGGATACAGCTTGTGTGTTTCATATAAGTCCCAATCGGGATTTGTTTAAATCATATGAAACGGTAACGCAAGGTTTCGTTGTCATGGGAAACAACGAATCTTGTCGGGTAGCTGGTATTGGGAGAATCGGATTGAAGTTGGTGGAGGCAACAATCAGAACACTTGGTTAGGTTCGACATATTCCAGACTTGAAGAAAAACATCATCTCGCTGAGTATCCTGGAGAGAAGGTGGAGTCTTGAAGGTCCGAAAAAGTGTCCGTGTTGTATTAAAGGGGCGAAGAAAATCCCAATTATACATCTTATAAGGTTGGGCAGAATCAGTGAAGAGACATCATCATAGGTTTGGTACCGTGGTGGATATACAGTTTGGTACAACACCGTTGGGAGTTGGCTCTGGGTCTATTTTGGAGAATACTACTCTGTCGAGTTTAAGGGATATGGATAATTCCGTTTTGCCACCACAGTCTGTGGTTCCGTTGTATTCAACTGCTAGGGAGAGACCCATTGGAAATAGGTACAGGGATGCTGATGTAGATGTACATGCTTTTGGAGTTGTTAAGGTGACAAGTCTAGCCAAGGGCCTTCAGTTAAAGCATTTGTGATGATTCTACTACAGGGTGTGTTTCGACCTTGTTTGGTAAATTTTAAATTCGTTGTCAATTTTGGGAACCCGGGGGTTGGGGTTCATTTGAGTCAGTGTGTATCCATGGTGGAAGAGGAAAACTATTTTCGAGTGTTGGAGAGGTTTGGTTCAGGTTAAGAGTTCGGTGTGTTTTTCGCTGCAGTTGGACTTATTTTTCCAAGTGGAGAAATTTTGAAGTTTCGTTCGTTGCACCTAAATTTGTGTTGAGGTGGAGATTGTCGGGTTTTGTTACCCAAATCCGTTCCAATTTGGGTCTAGGGTTTCGTGTTGTGGAGTATTAGACTTGAAGATGATAAAATAGGGTCCAAGAAAGAAAAAAAACAGGTGGATTGACGACGCTGGACGAACCCCGCTTATAGCTCGAGCGATAGGAGCAAAATTGGAACAAAGAGTTCATCGCCCGCCTGATGCTCGAGCGATAGGCCGTCGCCCGCTTCTTGCTCGAGCGACAGGCCGCGGATTTTTTTCTTCTTTTTCAGTTTTAAGTGATTTTTAACCTAGTTTCCATATTTTAGGTTAATTCTAGGGTTTGAACATGTCTCCTATAAATAGTAGACTCTTAATTCAGTTTAGATAAGAGAAAAGGCAGAACTTATATTTTCTCTCCATTAGTTGTTATTAATAAGATATCCGGTTCCATTGTCAATTTCATCTTCTTGTTTGTTTTCTTTTAAATCGTGTTCTTATTTATTAGTTTGTGCGATCTATACTT